TAGAAAGGAGTCCCCCTTCCGGCAGGGTGAATTTTTCCAGGCGAACGGACCCTCCCCAAGAAGACCGTGTCCCCTTCGAGTCTCTTTACGACTTTCTCCCGCAGGCGTTCTTGCCACCCATTGTGCGGGGATTGTGGAAAGTCAAAACTTACCGTTAGCATTCGACTCGTGGTCGGAAGTGGATGGTCGTGGACCGGTGGAATCGGCGCTACCACGGGGACAGGACGAGACTGCCGAGGAAGAGCTGCTAATAGCTGGTATGAGAAAGAAGCACGGGGAATTCATTAGGAGAGTTGTTAGTCTCGTTCCCGAGGGGGGTTCAGGACGCGTGGTCGGGCCCCGAATCTCTCACCGTTGCGGAGGAACCGCGGTGCAAACAGCGTCTGGCAGAAAAACGCTCCCTCGTAAGCGTAGCTAACGGGTTCGCCGTGTAATTACTACTAACGAACCGTTTGTTTCGCTCGACGAGACACACGGTGACTCACAGGTGTGCCTCTAGTTCCGAGGTACCCGGCGCCAAAGCACAGGGATTACATAATGGCCGACGTAACGATTCACGAACGTTGCACCGAGGGCACGCGGCTACGCGCCGAAACAAGGATCCCTGGTAATTGCTCGTTAGCGATCACAATGCCGATATCCCGCGAATTATTAAAGCCTCCTCCGTCGAGATTAGTGGACAAAGCCGTGAGCAACAGGAAGTTGTCGAGCGGAGGGAAACGAGTTGAAGAGAAGCTCGAGTTTTCGTGTGGAATTCCAGTGGAAATCGACGTCGTTTTCACTGATACCGTCGTGTGGCAATAGGCGGAACTGATGGTCGCTGATGCATTTCGGCTCGAGGGAACTGTAATTATGACTGTGTTCCTAGGGAAGGGAGACCTGTGACTGTTATGAAAGTCTTATTAATAGCAGTAGTTCGTACAGCAGCGGGATAATCGGTGAGGCAACTAGCTTTTCAAGCAGCTCGCGAGAAAATGAAGATAAATACCGACCCAATTCGATCGTATTAATCATGGGAAAACGTCGATTTCGTAACGAGACGACGGGGAGGAAGGTACGCCGAGGGAACAGTAGCTTGGTTCATGAACTAGCTGGATTATACTGTCACGGTTACTCCGTGCACCAGAAAGTAACAGCACGCAATAACGGTGACCGTTTTTCCATCAGCTTGTTTTATCTTCCGCGCGACTCGCATGACGACTGTCAATGCATATGGTTCCCACCTCCGCTTCCTGGTCCCTAGCGGAGCTTCCGGTCTCGTGACAGCCCGTCCTGGTCCACCGCTCGTTCCGTCCCAACATTACAGCTTCGTCACTTTCACGTCGCATTTCACCTCCGCGCTGCACACTTCCTTCCTTGTGAACTACCGGTTTGCGTCCGCGTTCAAACCACCGAACAAAGTCGGAGAAACGACTTTAATTCCGTTCCCACCTGCGGAGATAAACTCCCCGACGACAGGTAGCCGAATGCTAAACTTTGACCGGTAATTTTCGAGAAGTATTCCAGATCGTGACCTGGTACAAAAGGCTTCACGTGCATGCGCAAAAAGGCTCGGGTTATGAGAGGTTACGTGGAAAATCGAGGGTGTTCCGTCCGACGATCCATCGGTGAATAAATAATTCATGGTGTTTGCGGGGACAGGGCCGTAGCGGAAAAAACGTCTGAGCCTGGGGCCCTGTTTGACCAGGCTGACAGTTCCGGGACTGACAGGAGGCAGATGAGCGTGAAGGAACGAGATGAAAAATGGAGGACTGTTAAACAGGATTTTCGCTGTTGACCGAGGCAACGGAAAACGTGGATGCTACTTCCTAAGAGGAAGCTTCCTTCTCTGATCTTCGTGGGATCGATGCTGGTTTTTTAGCGTTTTCTTTCGCGCATTGTTCTCGAGACCTCTGTCACGTTTTCCGTTTAACCATATCGGTTTTAATAAAGGAACGCACGGAAAGCGTCTCTATATATATTTGCCTGGTATGAAATTTTGAAATGTAGAGACACCACGAAAACGAACCCGAGGGTCAGGGGTTTGCTAGCACGGTTGCAGTTGGAGAAGCAAAGGTTAACGGTATCGATTTTCGAAAGAGTCACCCGGTATACGTGACAGTGTAGCGTTATCCTAGGATCTGAGGAAATAAACGGTTTCCTGAGTGAAACGTGCCACTGCGGTGTGGGCCAGCCACGAGGGACAGATAAAACATGCGGCGAGGCACGTTTAAGCCTCTTCCACGCGGAGAATCGACCGATGCCTCGACATTTCCGTACGTTCATAAATATTCATGCAACTCGGTATTAAAAATTCGTGAATGGAAAAAGGGATTGTCCTTGGGCCGTCTCCCTCGAAGGAGACACTCGGTTGCATTCGATTCCTTTGACGAGATAGCATCGTCACCGATGGAAGAATCGTCGCCACTGGGTACTCGCGCGATTGATAGACGTCTAAACGAGGCGAGTTTGTCGTGGAGACCTGCAGGTTTCGGAAATAAGGCCACACGCTCGAAAGTTACTCGCCGAGGAACTTTCGGATCCACAGGATGCGGGTATAGAAGAAGATTGCCTTATTTATGGGGCGTTCATACGAACGTCTCGCGTATATACGACTTCTAAAGCTTAATGGACCATGAGAGAGGAAGAGGAACGCCGTGTATCCTTCGGGATTCTTCAACTTCAGACACGTTTTCGAATGGCAACGAACACTTTTCTCCACGCGGAACGTACCATGAACGAGTCTTTTCGACCAGAAAATACGATTCGCCGATTTTCCGCCCCAAACAGATGTCATGTCGCCTCTCTAGACTGACGGCAAAAAAGGTACAGTCGGCTGCAGGATTTTCTGCTCGCAGGATGGACGCAACTGACGGATCGGCGCCTAAAAAACCGATGTCAACGTTGCGAGGATGATTCACGCGTTTCGTAATTCCCCTGGCGGGAAATCTAGCAACGTTCGTAATTGCTACCGACAAACGAACCGACCTTGAATTCGACGTGATTCACCGTTGCAAAAATGCTTCGAGCCAAGCGATTCGGAACCGGCAGTCGGTGTTGGATTAGAAAATTCGTTCCAGAAGCGGCAGCCTTGCTTGGCTGCTTTCGTTTTCCATTTTCACGCGAGCGAAACGTCACGCCGATTTTCCGCGGCCGCTAACGAGAGAGGAGCTAACCGATCGCGACGACACTTTCACGATAATGACGCGCTCGATCTCTCGCGGAACGGGAGGAAAAAAGCCCGCGAGGATTTGCAGCACGCGGAACACCGTGGTATTCCTTTAGACACAGCAGCCTGTCACGTACGTCACGATCGACTTGTTCGACTCGCGTGTCACCGAGCGTCGCGTAATTTGCGCTAGTGTAATTTATGCAAGCACCGCGTGCCGATTTCCACAGTCGGCGGAGCGAGAAGAACGACAGCATAGAATTCGCGACGCGATTTTTAATTCGCACTTTCACGATACGACGCGAAGTGACAAGACAGTAGCCCGATTCCAAGCATCGACACGTCGGATTAAAAGAGATCCGCGACGTTTACCTTTGTTTCACCCTGTACACGTGATGTCGATTGCAAAACTTCGCGGAATTCCGTGTATACCCTTTCACTGGCGACGTGGTAAAGCCAGGATTTCCTCAGCGGCGGATGCTATACCCTTTGCGTAATTTATTAAAATGTCCAGCCGTTAGAGCGTGTAAGGTCAAAAGCGTAAAAAGCTCGTGTCATCATGGGTGCTTGCCGCGTGTCTATGTTAGTGCGACCAATCGATGCGAATATGGAAATGATCGCGGGCTATTCGGCCACCATCAGCTGGTTTCCGTGGAAACCAGGTGGGGGCGTGTGTCGTAGGTCGTTGAGCGTAGGCTGGTCGGCGAGTCCATCTGCATGAACAAACACGGGTGGCAGGAATG